CTGTCAGAAAAAAAAAAAAAGTGGACTTTCAGGCTGGGAATGTGGCTTCTTAGTGGTCTTCAGTACCACATAAACAGAAAAAGCCAGAAGTAGTGCAGTAGCTCAAGTGGTAGAATGCTAGCCTTGAGCAAAAGAAGCTTAGTAATAGTGCCTAGGCCCTGAGTTCAAGTCTTAGAACTGGCAAAAAAAAAAAAAAAAAAAAGGTGGACCTTCTCATTATATCATTGCAACTTTCAAGGATACTTCGCCCCCCCCTCGGGAAGTTGGCTCTTGCTGTTGTCCTCCCTGCAGCCAGATGGTCCACTTCCTGATGTCCTTCAGGTAGCTATCCAAAAGCCATCCTGGGCTCTCTTTCCAGGTTCATTCAACATAGACTAGTCCTCCCATTGCTGTCCAGCTCTTCATCCAACTTTACATGTGTCAGAGAGACTTCATGATGCCAAATACACACACACACACACACACACACACACACACACACACACACACACACACACACACACACACACCTCCTCTCCCCTCCACCCCCAAACATGAGTGCCCTTCCATATCTGTGGGATCCATACCCAGGGACTCAACCAATGGTGGAGTGAATTTGCCTGGAGGAAAGCACCACAATGAATGTGCACATCCCCTCATCTATCTCAGGACTCCTGGGGTTTCTCTCCAGTATCCATTGCTGGAGCCCAGTTTCCCTCACATTAGCTTTGTGGAGCATATAGAACTAGTTTACTGCAAACTTTCTTCTTGTCATTATCCCCTAACCAACACAATGTAACAATGATTTTTATAATATATTCATTGTATTAAGTGTTGTAACTAAGTGTTGAAATGATTTAAAGTTGACCAGGGGGTGGTGGCTCAGATCCTTAATTATAAAACTACTCAGGGGCTGGGAAGGTGGCTCAGTGGTAGAATGCTTGCCTTGCATGCATGAGGCCCTGGGCTCAATTCCTCAGCACCACATAAGCAGAAAAAGCCAAAGTGGCACTATGGCTCAAGTGTAGGGTGCTAGCCTTGAGCTGAAGAGCTGAGGGACAGCGCCCATGACCAACAACAACAAAAAATTACTCAGAAAACAGAGATCAGAGGATCAAGGTTTGAAGCCAGCCCAGCCCCCAACCTCCCACCCCCCCACCAAAAAAAGTACTGGAGACTACCATCCAAAATAACCAGCAAAAAGCCTACCTGGAGGTATGGCTCCTATAGTAGAGCACCTGCTGAGCCCTGAGTTCTTAATCTGTTCTGGTAAGAAAAAAGTATACAGAAAGAGGTGCAAATGTTACATATGAATACTATATTGCTTTGCAGGGGACTTGATCATCTGTGAGGTGTTTTTGTTTGTTTTGGGGGGTTTTGCAGTCCTGGGGCTTAAACTCAGGGCCTGGGCACTGCCTCTGAGCTTCTTTTGCTCAAGGCTAGCAATCCACCATTTGAACCGCAGCACCACTTCCAGCTTTCAAACCAGGGCTTCATGCATGCTAGGCAAGCACTTTACCACTAAACCACATTCCCAGCCTCATCTGTGAGTTTCAGTATGGGGGGGGATGGGGAGAGAGCCTGGACCCCATCCTCATGGATACTAAGGGGCAAATGCATATGCTATTATCTGCTTATCTGACATTGTCTTTATCCTTCAAATAAAACAGACTTTTTGAAGACAAGGATTTTATCTTATCCATAGCTATATCCTCAGCACCCAGGGCAGTGCACCCTGCTCATTTCTGAACTCCACAAATATTTGTATTAATTTGTTGATCAAACATTATTTATTGACTTGTTTTCCAAAAACTTGCCTAAAATTTATTGGGAAGAAAAAAATGAAATTCAAATATTCTGCTCTTGCACATAAATATTAAGTCAATGTTTAGCTCATATTCTTTTTTCGAGATTGACATTTAACTTTGCATAGCACGTACTGAGAAAAAAAATATTATTTCACAATCAGGAAAGCACAGCTAGCCATGCAGCAACCATATCCAGCATGGTGGCTACAGCCACCATGTATCTAAATGAGGAAAGGAAGGTTCCTCCATGCTTTAAATTTTGTGACTACACTGCAGTCTTATTCAGTCATTGCCAGTCATAAATTATTCAACTTACTTTGAGTCTCATCCCCCCCCCCATAATGCAAAATTGTTAACTGAATTGTTAACATAATTACAAAAGCCCATAAAGAACAACCATTATTCACCCAGATGTCTACTGGAAGGAGGTCAGAAGAGTAAACTTCATACAGGTGGTGCAAATGGCTCTTTAAACGCTGATAAACCTCAAATATGAAGAGAAACAGAAAGGAGCTAAAGAAAGCTGTTATTATTCCATCCACAGCCAGCTGTGGAACTTACAATAATAAAGTATAGAGGGCTGGGGGTGTACCTTGGGTCCAGAGGGGTACTAGGCACATGCAAAGATCTGGGTTCCATCCCCAGTACTGCAAAAAGAAAAGAAAATACAAATATAAATCTCACACAAGCTGGGCGCTGGTGGCTCACGCTTGTAATTCTAGCTGCTCAGAATGCTGAGATCTGAAGATCGTCGTTCAAAGGCAGCCCAGGCAAGGAAAGTTCGTGAGACCCTTATATCCAATTAACCACCAGAAAATTGGAAGTGGTGCTGTGGCTCAAGTGGTAGAGTGTTAGTCTTGAGCTGAAGAGCTCAGAGACAGTGCCCAGGCCCAGAGTTCAAGTCCTATGACCACAAAAACAACAACAACAACAACAAAAAACACCTCACACATATCCAGAGGCAGTAAGGAGCAGATGATTTGAGATAAACAGAATTATGACCAGAACTGAGTTAATTTCCAGGTTGTCTAACAAGATGACCTTTAGCAAGCTGCATACCTGCCTGGCACTGACATTGCTCATCTGTACAATGGGACAATATACAGAATTGTTGCAATGAGTAACAAGACATAGCTAAGGTCTTTTGAAAATTTAACAAGATACTCCCTGACAAAGAATATATTTACTCCATATTATTATTAAATAACTAAAAGTGCATACATTCCTACAGGCATATCAAATGGTCTTGTCACTAAATCATTCTTAGTCATTTATTTCTTTTGCTGCTGTATGGCCTGTGTAACAGCAGGTAGAAAGAAATAGAAAAAGTTCGTCACTACTACAGTCATAAATGCTTGTCACCAGGCTGGGAATGTGGCTTAGTGGTAGAGTGCTTGCCTAGAATGCATGAAACCCTGGGTTCAACTCCTCAGTACCACATAAACAGGGAAAGCCGAAGTGGTGCTGTGGCTCAAGTGGGAGAGCACTAAACCTTGAGCACAGAGAGGCTCAGGAACAGACCCCAGGCCCTGAGTTCAAGCCCCAGGACCAGCAAGCAAGCAATCAATCAATCAATGCTTGCCACCTATCTACTTATTGGCTTCAGAGAGGTAATACCACAATTTTGTTTAGGAATCTACTAAACCAGAATCTTTCTTTTAAAATACAGTCTTTAATGAATGGTAACAGCTGGCAAATTCACACAAAACATACACAGTAAACATTTTAGGAAGCCAATGTAAGAGCTCAGACATTTTAAGTCACCCTGCTCTACTCCTAAAAATAAATAAATTACAAATATTAAAAAAACATTTGCAGTTCCACAAACGTAGATTAGTCTCAAAGAGCAAACAAAAAAGCAACCACTTCTCACCGTCCACAACCAAGCCAAATCAAATAAAAAATAGTCCACATCACAGGAAAATACCCCTCGAGTTTTCAGGCAGGTAAGAGACTCAGACACACCTCGTTTTTTTTTTTTTTTTTTTGTTTTTTTTTTTAAGAAAAAAAGAAAAACCAGAATAGATCCAAAGAAGACACTAATATTCAGATTCCACGTTAATGATTCCCTGCCAACACTTTCCCGGTAAACAAGGGGGTTAAAGAGTTCAAGACGCGAGATGCTAAACAACCGCAAAACCAGACACAAAAACCCCAACGCCTCCGCCAAGGCGAGCCCCACACCGACGCTTCCAGAAAACACACGCGGCCAGGGACTCTCCTCCGTTCCCACGGCGCCAGCGCCCGCAGGACCACGAAACACAAAAGACGCGCTGGAGGGCCGGAGGGCAGGCTCTCCCCGCCCCGCGCCCGGCCCCGCAGGGCCGCGCAGGAAGGTTCGTGACGCCCGGGCTTACCTACACCAAAACGTCACCCACGGCCAGGGGCGGCGGCGGCGGGCGTCTGCATCCGCCGCCGGGACCAACCCAACCGCAAGCTGCCCGCTTCAACCTCCTCCGGGCAAAGGCGAGGCCGGTGCGAAGTTCCCCGCAGCACCCCGGGCTCGGTTCCGCCTCCGGCCCCCGCTGAGATTTGCTGGTGCACCTGCCACCGCCGCGGCGGCGCCGGCCGGGGCTCGCAGGCCACCCGGGGAGCCCCGGAAGGGCCCTGCGGCCTAGGGCGCCCGTGACCCTTGGCCGAGATCGCCGCCGCCGCCGCCGCCGCCGCGGCCGAGGGTCGCTGTCCACACCGCCCCCTTTCCCTGACAAAGACCCTCTGTCAATCCCAGGCCCGACACACACGCGCGCACGCACACGCACACACGCGGGGGGGGGGGGGACAGGAGCGCAGGCGAGGTGTTTGCAACCTCCGAATGATAATAGCAATAATAATAATAATAACTAATCACCATCCTCATCAAGTGTCCCCCGGGCTCGGCCACCTGGGCGTGCCCTGCAAGTGGGTGCAGGGGCCGGGGGTGGGGGAAGGGGAGCGGGCCGCGGCCGCGGCGGCTCCCCGGGGCACCCAGGCCGTGCCCGGCGTGGCTCTCATCAAATGCCGGGGTGGCGGAACGGGCCACGGGAAACCGCAAATGCAATCCCGGCGGGCGCCAGGCGGCCGGCGGCGAGCGGGCTGCAGACCCGCCCGCCCCGCACCCACCCGCACCTGCCCGGAGGCCCGGCTCCCCACGGCGGTGGGGGGCGGTCGGAGGGTGGGGGGGACCCCGGCCGAGGCTGAGGACGGGGGGAGGTCGGGGCCGCCTCGCTCGCTCACCTCCAGGTCGGTGTCGGCGGCCTCCGGAGCCCCGAGGATCTCGCTGGGCAGCTCGGCCAGGTCGGTGACCCGGATCAGCCCGTCGTGCAGGAAGATGGTCTCCTCCTTCACCGAGAGCCACTGCGCCGAGTCCGCCGCGGCCGCCGCGGCCGCCGCCGCCGCCGACGAGCCCATGGCCGGGGCTGAGGCGCCGACGCCCGGCGGGGAGACGCGAGCTGGGGCCGCGGCGCTCACCAGTCCATGGCAGCGGCTGCCGCGCCCGTCGGGCCCGCGAGGCTCCACCCTAGGCGGCCCGCGCCGCCATCTCCTCACACCCGGGCCCGGGAGACCCCGGCCCCGCAGCCGCCGCCGCCGCCGCCGCCGCCGCCGCCGCCGCCGCCGCCGCCCTGAGGAGCAGGACCCGCCTCTGCCGCTCAGCAGCCAACTGTCAGTGAGACTCCATGTTGGGGGCGGGGCTCCCGGCATGCCCCGCGGAGCGGACAATACCGGCTCCGCCCCCCGCCCGCCTGGCCCCGCCCACCGCTCCCTGCAGACTCGGCCCGGGGCTGCAGAACCTGGAGCTCCGTCTGGGTTCCACCCCGCCCACTGGGGTGACCTCTCCGTGGGCCCTTCCGCTTCTGACTATTCGGGGTCACGCTGGGTCTGCCCTGTACCACCAGACCCCGCCTTTTCTTCCCTCCTTACTGAGGTGTGCACCTCTCGCTGTAGCCAGAGCCACCACCCTGTCCTCAGAGCCTACCGGCTGTCAACCTTGCTTTCTGGTTTAGGTGAGATGCATGCAAAAACCAGGTGCCTGGGCTTCAAGCGTGGCTCAGGGGTACAGTGCCAGCCTAGCAAGTGCAATCCCATTGCACTTCCCAGCGTGGCCCACAAACTCTAGCGCACACTTGTAATCCCAGCACTCAGGGAGCTGAGGCAGGAGGATCTCCAGTTTGAGGCCAGCCTGGGCTACATAGCAAGACTTGTCTCAAAAGAAAAAAAAAATGCTCGACAAGAAATGTATTCATGCTGGACGCCGGCGGCTCACACCTGTCATCCTAGCTACTCAGGAGGCTGAGATCTAAGGATTGTGGTTCAAAGCCAGCCAAGGGGCAGGAAAGTCCAGGAGATTCTTATCTTCAATTGATCACCAGAATGATGGAAGTGGGGCTGTGCCTCAAGTGGAGTGGTAGAGCTCAGCCTTGAGCAAAATAAATAAATAAATAAAAATAAAAAAGCTCAAGAACAACAAAAACAAAAGGTTTAGGGATGCATGGAAGGGGAGTGGAGCAGCCCTGTCACACTTCTTTTGGTTTATTTCAAGTTTTGCTGAAATATATCCTCAATATTTTTTAGAAGGGCAATTGGTAGAAAAACATCTGAACACCTATGTGGGAATGCCTTTATTTTGCCTTCATGGTGTGGGTTAATAATGGTGAGTGTTGGATACATGACTCTAGGTTAAAACCAACTTTTCCTCAGAAATTTGTAGGTATCCTGCCCTAGCAGAAGAAATTGGGTGCTCAGCTGATTTTCATTCTCTTTAGTGACACTGTATCAGGCCGGGCCTGGGGTACACATCTTTCATCCTAGCACTTAGAAAGCTCAGTCAGAAGGATGGAGAGTTCTAGGCCAGCTACATGGTGAGTCCAAACCAGCCATTTTTCTGCCTCAGCTTCCTGGGTACTAGAATTACAGGCATGTGCCACAGTGCCCAGTCAAGAAAAACTAATATAGATATGTATGTATGCATGTATATATATATGTACATATATCTATGTATGTTTTCCACAGGGCATGGATATTCCTCTTTCATTTATTTAACAAATGTGTTATGCTTCCAGCTCTTTGGCATTGTTACTGGTGTGGGGTAACAAAGATGAGCAAGGCAGGAAAGTCCTCTATCAGAGAACTGACAGCCTGATAGGGGAAACTGACAAGAAGTAAGAAAACACCAAATCAGTTGAGAGCAGATGAGTGCAATGAAAGTAAAAGGTGTGTGTGTGAGAGAGAGAGAGAGACAGAGACAGACAGACAGACAGAGACAGAAGCAGAGATGGAGTGGGGCCTGGGAGGAATGGAGCTCAATGATAGGGCAGGTACAAGATCCTGCATTGAATCTCAACACCAAACAAAAACAAAAAAAAGGTGGTAGAATTTTTATCAGCTCTTCAGAAGAATCATGAGGAAGGAACTGTATTTATTTATTTAGGTGCCAGTCCTGGGGCTTGAACTCAGGGCCCAGGGAACTGTCCCTTAGCTATTTCTACTCAAGGATAACACTTGACCATTTGAGCCACAGCTCAATTTCTGGCTTTGTTTGTTTGTTTGTTTGTTTTTGGGTGGTTAATTGGAGATAAAGTCCCAGGGGGCTTTTCTTCCTGGGATGGCTTTGTACCTCAATCATCAGATCTCAGCCCCTGAAAATTAGCTAGGATTACAGGTATGAGTCACCAGTGCCCTGTCCCTTCATTGCTTTTTCTCACAATTTCCAAATCTAAGGACAGTCATCATTTTTATTTACTTGTATTGTGCTGGTAATAGGGCTTGAAATCAAGGCCCTATGCTCTTGCTCAGCCTGCTTGCTCACAGCTGGTGCTTTACTGCTGAAGCCACACCTCTAGTCTAGTATTTTTTTTATTGTGATTAAGTGATTACATAAATTTCACAAATTTCATACTATTTTGAGATAGTGATACTTAAAGTCACAAACACATTCCAACCTTCACGAGGCAAACTGTCATTATTGTTGTCTATAAAGTTTGTGAATTCTATGAGCTTTGAAAATACAGCTATTTCTTCTACATCAGGTGATATGTACATTTCTTTCCTTTTGCTTACTGTTAGCTGTTCCCTCTGTCCCTCTCATTCGCTCCCTTCCATTGCTGCCCTTGAGTTGCTTAGTTCATTTTCATCCATGTCTAGTGCAGTTGATGGGTCCCGCTGTTGTATGTTTTCCCGTTTCCCTCTGTTTCTGTGTCTGCCTCCTAGTTTCCCTCAGATGTGTGTATATATACCACAGGGGTCTAGTATTTTTCAGGTTAAGTGGAGGTGGAATCTTGCAGACTTTTCTGTCCAGGCTGCTTTTGAACACCAGTCCTCCAAATTTCTTCCTTCTGAGTACCTAAGATAGGTGACAGTCACCAGTGCCTGCCATCAATCACAATTTTTGTGGGGCACCGGTGGCTCAGGCCTGTAATCCTAGCTACTCGGGAAGCTGAAATCTGAGAATCACAGTTCAAAGCCAGCCTGGGCAGGAAAGTACATGAGAATCTTGTCTCCAATAAACCACCAGAAAACCAGAAGTGGTGCTGTGGCTTATGTGATAGAGTGGCTAGCCTTGAGCTGAAGAGCTGAGGGACAGCGCCCAGGCCCAGAGTTCAAGCCCCATGACCAACCAAAAAAAAAAAAAAATCACTAATTTTTGTTTTGTTTTGTTTTTGCAGTGCTGGGAATAGAAACCAGGGCTTCACATATGCTAGGCAAGTAATCTACCACTTAGGGCTGGGAAGGTGGCTCAGTGGTAGAGCGCTTGCCTTGCATGCTCAAGGCCCTGGGTTCCATTCCTCAGCACCACATAAAAAAAAAAAGGAAAACGCCGGAAGTGGTGCTGTGGCTCAAGTGGTAGAGCGCTAGCCTTGAGCTGAAGAGCTGAGGGACAGCGCCCAGGCCCAGAGTTCAGGCCCCACGACCGGACCCCAAAACAAAAAACAAAAAACAAAAAAAAACAAAAAACAAACAAACAAAAAAGTAATCTACCACTTAGCTATATCCACAGCCCCCATCGTTATTTTCATTTTTATTTTTTGTCAATCATGGGGCTTGAACCCAGGTCCTGAGTGTTGAGTGTTATCCCTGAGCGTTTTTTTTTTTTTCCCCCTCAAGGGTAGCACTCTATCACTTTGAGCCACAGTTCGCTCTACTTCTGGTTTTTAGTGGTTAAGTGGAGATAAGAGTTTCACAGGAGCCGGGCGCTGGTGGCTCACGCCTGTAATCCTAGCTACTCAGGAGGCTGAGATCTGAGGATCGCGGTTCAAAGCCAGCCCGGGCAGGAAAGACCGTGAGACTCCTATCTCCAATAAAAACCACCAGAAAACCGGAAGTGGCGCTGTAGCTCAAGTGGTAGAGCGCTCGCCTTGAGCTGAAGAGCTGAGGGACAGCGCTCAGGCCCAGAGTTCAAGCCCCATGACCGACAAAAAAAAAAAAAAAAAAAACAAAGAGTTTCACAGGGACTTTTCTGCCCAGGCTGGCTTCAGATCTTGATTCTGAGATTACCGCCTCCTCAGTAGCTAGGATTACAGGCATGAGCCACTAGTGCCCGGCTCATTATTTTATTTTATTTTTTTATTTTTTGTCCCATCGTGGGGCCTGAACTCTTAGCCTGGGCACTGTCCCTCAGCTCTTCAGCTCAAGGCTAGCACGCTACCACTTGAGCCACAGTGCCACTTCCAGCTTTTTTCTTTTTGCTTATGTGGTGCTGAGGAATCGAACCCAGGGCCTCATGCATGCAAGGCAAGCACTCTACCACTGAGCCACCTTCCAAGCCCCCCATCATTATTTTTAAAGGGTACTAAACTCTATAAATAGGTAGCTCGGCGGGGTGGCACGTGGCTTACACCTGTAATCCTAGCTACTCAGGAGGCTGAGATCTGAAGATGGTGGGTTTGAAGCCAGCTTGGCCAGAAAAGTCTCTGTGAGACTCTTACCTCCAAATAACCACTCAGAAACTAGAAGTAGCACTTTGTCTCAAAGTGGTAGAGCACTAGCCTTGAGGAAAAGAGCTTAGGGATGGAGCCTAGGCTCTATGAGTTCAAGCCCCACAACTGACAAGAAGTAATAATAATAATAAAAACATAAATAGGCAGATTGGTACCTCAGAAATTTTTCTTGCTCTTTTTTGTTGTTGTTTGTTTTGTGTTGTTTATATTTGGGAGGAGCTAGTATTTGAACTTGGGCCCTTGTGGTAGGCAGGTGTTCTACCACTTGAGCCATATCTCTAGTATTAAAACAACAGTAATTATATAGTTGTTTTTTTTGGGGGGGGAGGGTCCGGTTGTGGGGCCTGAACTCTGGGCCTGTGCGCTGTCCCTCAGCTCTTCAGCTCAAGGCTAGCACTCTACCACTTGAGCCACAGCACCACTTCTGGCTTTTTTTCTTTTTGCTTATGTGGTGCTGAGGAATCGAACCCAGGGCCTCAAGCGTGCAAGGCAAGCGTTCTACCACTGAGCCACCTTCCCAGCCCCAATTATATAGTTTTTAAGGTGTTATATAGAGGAGCTACTATTTCTTTCTTTTTGCTTTTTGAGACAAGGTCTTAATACTGCCTCTGCCTCTCAAGAGCCAGGGATTACAGGTGTGTACTACTAGGCCTAGCTTCTTCTGCACTTAAATGTTTGTATTTCAAGATCAGGAGTCAAGATGTCTAAAAATGATTGTCTTTCCCTCTAATTAAGGAAAACGGCCCAGATCTGGAGCTTAAATGTCTTAGATTGCATAATGAATAGTTATTTAATATTTTAGCAACAGTAATTAGTCATAGGACTATAGAACTGCTATTGTACCTTGATGAGGCAGCAGATGAATTAATATTTATAGAACCCTCTCTGGAAATAAGACCATTTAGTGGGAATTTTTATACAAGATCAGCAAGACAAAGGAAGTGTCTGATCAAAAGAACTTCACATTGGCAGCCTATGAGCAGAGAATCCATATTTAGAAAAGACAAAATACTGGGACTGGGAAGGTGGCTCAGTGGTAGAGCGCTTGCCTTGCATGCATGAGGCCCTGGGTTCGATTCCTCAGCACCACATAAGCAAAAAGAAAAACACCGGAAGTGGCGCTGTGGCTCAAGTGGTAGAGCGCTAGTCTTGAGCTGAAGAGCTGAGGGACAGCGCCCAGGCCCAGAGTTCAGGCCCCACGACCGGACCCAAAAAAAAAAAAAAAAAGAAAAGACAAAATACGTACACACACACCCATATATATGCACATACATGCATGTGCATGGAGAGCCAATCATAAGAAGTTTTATGGAGCTAGGGAAGTGGCTCAGTGGTAGAGTGTTTACCTTACATGCATGAGGCCCTGGGTTCAATTCCTCAGTACCACATAAGCAGAAAAATCCGTAAGTGGCTCTGTGACTCAAGTGGTAGAGCCCTAGTCTTGAGCTGAAGAGCTAAGGGACAGTGTCCAGGCCCAGAGTTCAGGCCCCATGACCCACCAAAAAAAAAAAAAAAGTTTTATGGCTGTGACTTTTTGTCTTTAGAATTGTCCTTTCTACTCTTACATTTGAGAATAGAAGAACAGGATGGGAACATGATCAAGGAAAACTGACTGGGTAGCCCAAATTCAGAATCAGAGGAAGCATGGGGGCAAGCAGAAAACTCTCAGTAGGTTGAACCTCAGTCACCCCAGGGAGGTGTCTCCCCAAGAGGGCGTGAGCTTGTTGACGGAGACCATCTCCTGATGCCCTGGCTGACGTGATAGGCACTGCCCTCGGCTCAAGCAGGCCCTTTGGGATTTTGTGATATCACATTCTTCTATTGACTCCTGTGTGCCAGCTGATGCTTGGAATGAGTCTGTAATCCTTGGGCCTGAAATACGTGAGTGTAGCCTGGAGATAAGCAAGGCTGCATAATCAACATAGAGCCTGAAGATAGCTCTCTCTAGCTGGGGCAGCCATATTTATGCTTAAGGCCCTTCAAAACACCAAGGAGAAAGCACAGGATCATCTGCCCTCTCTGGCTTTCTCTCTCTGTCTCTCTCTCTCTCTCTCTCTCACACACACAGTCAAAACCTGTGGGAAAGATTGACTATTGACATCCAATGAATCATAATCTCAAAGAGGAAAGACATATACCCCTGCTGGAAGTCTTTCTAAGGGATCTGGGAGGCCCTGTTCATTATATTTCAAGGAAGATTGTTTGGACTCCTGGGTGGGTCTCTGAAGCAGCAGGTAAGTCAGAAGAGAGGTATTTGAAAACCAGGAAGGAGAAATTTTCCTTGGAGCTCTGCTGAAATAGCAGAAGGAAGGGACAGGCCTCCACCCCGGATGACCCGCCCTAAGATGAGGCAGCATTAAATGTAGCTCTCATCTTCCTTTCTGGAAGAACACCAGAAGATCGGGACCATACTGTGTGCTCCAGCGCCCCTTGGTGGTCATCAGAGGCATTGATGCAGCAGAATTTTCCAATATTCTCTTGGAAACGTCATCCAATCACCATGACGCAAAACTGAGATGAAATCAGCCAGGCCTCCGTGGCTCACGCCTGTTATCCTAATTCTTCAGGAAGCTGAGGTCAGAGGATCAAGGTTTGAAGCTAAGTGAGGCAGAACAATCTACCTCCTTTTAAATGGCATCTTACTAGGCGCTGGTAGTTCATGCCTATAATCTCAGGAGGCTGAGATCTGAGGGTGAAGGTACAAATCCAGCCCAGGTAGTAAAGTCTGTGAGATTTTTATCTTCTACAAATGAGTTGTAGCTCAAGTAGTAGAGTGCTAGCCTTGAGCACAAAAGCTCAGGGACAGGTTCTGAGTTCAAGTCTCAGGACTGGCACTAAAACAAAAGATAGGTTGATGAGATTTCTCAGGATTGTCCTTATTACTAGTATATTATTTTTCTTCCCAGGGTTGTTTTTTTTTCCCTTTAGGTTTCATGCTTACTGATCACCCTACATCACAAATGTAGTTTTCAAGTTACTTCCTCATTTTCCAGCTAACACAGCAAGGTCTGGTAGCTCATTGTCTCCAAGTATTAAAACATCCATGCCATGGGCTGGGAAGGTGGCTCAGTGGTAGAGCGCTTGCCTTGCATGCTTGAGGCCCTGGTTTGATTCCTCAGCATCACATAAGCAGAAAAAAAAAAAAAAGCCAGAAGTGGCCCTGTGCCTCAAGTGGTAGAGTGCTTGCTTTGAGCTGAAGAGCTGAGGGACAGCGCCCAGGCCCAGAGTTCAGGCCCCATGAACGGACCCCCCTCCCCCCAAAAAAAAATCCATGCCTGTGTTGTGTGTGTGTGTGTGTGCATGCATGTGCACATGTACATACTGAAGATGTTTGAATTCAAGGCCTCGCACTTGCCAGCAGTGCTCTTCCTCTGAGATAAATCTCCAATCCAGCAGAGGACTCTCACTCCTTTTTTCTGCTCAAGATTACGCTACCACTCCAGACACATCTCTATTTCAAGCTGTTGGTTAATGTCTGTTTTGTTTTTTTTGTATTGATGTGTTGTGTGTGTGTGTGTGAACTCAGGGTCTGGGAACTGTACTTGAGCTTTTGTGTGCTCAAGGCTAGCCCTCTAACTACTTTGAGCCACAGCTCCACTTCTGGCCTCTTTTGGTAATTAGAGATTAAGTCTCATGGACTTGCCTGTCTGAGCTGGCTTTGAACCATGGTCCCTGAGTAGGTAAAATGAAAGGTAAGCCACTGTCACCCAGCTCTCCATGCTTTTTCTTCTACAATATCGGGTAGAAGTGTTGCTTCCAAACTTAAATCTTGGGTGGGAATGTAGCTTAGTGGAAGAGTGCTTGCATAGTATACATGAAGCCCTGGGTTCAATTCCTCAGTACCATATAAACAGAAAAAGCCAGAAGTGGCACTGTGGCTCAAGCTGGTAGAGTGCTAGCTTTGAGCAAAAAAACACCCAGGCCGGGAGTTAAAGCCCCAGGACTGACAAAAAAATTACATCTGCAGAATTTATGAATGTGGCCTTCTTGGAGGATAGAACCAGATGTGACAGTACACCCCTTGTATTACAGTACTAGGGAGTCAGAGGAAGATTGAGTTCAAGACCACCCTCTGCTTGCAGAGGAAAAACACTAGAGTGATGTTTTAAACTAGACCCTAGCCCAGTGTCTGGTATCTTTTAAAAAGGGGAAAATATTTTATCTCAATTTTTACCATGCGATAGGATGAATGGAGGACCTTGAGCAAGCACCTTACTTCTTGACCAAGAGCCAGAAATTTACCTTCTCCAAGTCAAGGGCTATGTAGTGGATCTTTCAGTTCACAAGGCTGAGGCTGGGAATACAAAGCAAGACATTGACTTTTCTTACAAAAGCAGTATACTTGTACCTTCATTTGGTTAGTAAAGGCAGGCTTTCCATGGTTGGTTGAGTGAACCCCCCAGTCCTGTTGGCACTACCTGCCTTTGTGAACATGACAATCCTGTTTTAGGATTCCTGTTGAGCTGGTATAGATAAAATGCCACGACTTCTGTTGAGTGGAAATCTTTTCTTCTTAGGTCTAAGACCTGGATTCAATAGCAGCCACTTCACTCACTGGCTAGCACTTGCTGCCAACCCTGAGATGGAAGTCTTGTGGACATTTTTGTGTCAGTACTGGAACTGAGCCACATGAGTCTATACCTCTGCGTCCAGCTTTTTGCTGGCCAATAGCAATCCTCAAGCTTTTTTGTCCTGGGTGGCTTCAAACAATGATCCTCAGATCTCAGCTGCCTGGGCTAGCCTGGAATGGATACCTTCCAAATCCTGGCCTCCCATGTAGCTTCAGCAGCTAGCCATCAATTCAAACAGTCTTGACAACTTTTCTGCCCAGGCTAGGTTTGAAACTGTTCCATCCCAATCAATTTCAGGTAGCTAAGATCAGTCATAAGCCACTGGGACCTGGGTGAAAATAAGCTGGCCTGGAACATGGTACACGGCCTAGGCTGGGGTGAACTCAACCCTTTGTTCAACATTTCAGTGATCCCATTTCTAAGCAAAACCAAAAAAGAAAGCCAAAAACTAGAAAAGACACAAACAAAATGTATAAATGATTTAATTAGGCTCTTGGTAAGTTTAGAACACTATTTTGTGAGGATAAATTCCATTTGTTAGGGCAAAAAGAGATCTCATGTAGCCTTGGAGCTGAGGAATAGCTTTGATTTTGGGTAGAATTTGTGAGTCCACAGCCTTCTGATCAACCTTGCGCTGTTCTGTAACCTCGTATTTCTAAATGAAGAGAAAATTAATCAATTAGTACAGAAAATAACACAGATCTTGTCAGGATGAATTACAGAAAATACAAGCAGTTAGGGCAGCCTTGCCAACTCTTACACTGGAGCAGTGAAATAAATACTACACCTTTGTACAAAGAATGGAGTGGCTTGTTTATTTACAGCAAGCCAATGACAGATAAAGGCACCCCTAGTGATTCCCCTAAAACACTGTCACTCTAAATTTCAGCTCAGTAGTAAAAACTAAAGGACATTACCCCATTCCAGAGAGGGACCTGTGCTACTGCAGGAGGCAGTTGACAGGAACACGCACCTCTTTTTCTGTGTCGAAGATTTCACCCTCCTGGTGTCTAGGCTTCCGCAGCTTCTTCTTCTTGAAATAATCGTCAGTGAGGTGTTTAGGGATTTTCACCTTGCTGATATCAATTTTTGTGGAGGTGGCAATAACAAATTTCTGGTGTGTTCTACGCAGAGGAACACGGTTGAGGGACAGAGGTCCTGAGAAAGAAAATGAAGGGTGAAAAACACTTCACACTAGCTGCGCAGGCAGAGCCTCATGTGGAAAAATTCTAATACCACAGATCTCAAGTCTGTCCAGGAGTCTTTCCTGTTCTAGTCCCTCCAAGTGATCCAGGTTAGTCAAAATCAGTGATCCCTAATTAACTGCACCCATTTACACACACCCCATTGCTTGCCTGGAATAAACAATTCACTTATTAGTTCAAACTCTACCCTGATGCCAATGACAGCTCAATTGTTAGTTTACACAGGATTATTTCGTGAAGGCCAGCAGTCAACCATTCTGTACTAAATATTAAGTTTACTTGATGAGTTGGAACAAAAAGCCCAATACCTGCTTACATTTAACCCACAGATCCACAAAGCAGTGTATCACATCTCACATCCTTAGTCACGAAAAACTACATAGATGGAGCAAATGTGTATACATACCTCAAGCTTTTGAAACCAACCCGATCTCCAGTTAACTACCAAAATAATATCTAAAAGTTGAGCTGTGGCTCAAGTAGGTGTGCACTATCCTTGAGCAAAAAAGCTCAGGGGCAGCACACAGGCAAGCATAGAGTGCTCACACACATATACTTGGATTTTCTTACCAGTCACAAGTAGTAAGCCACTGCCCAGCTGCTTCAAGAAAACCACTCTCTGAAAGCCAAACAGAAAAGTTTTCTACAATTATGAACTGACTTCTGTATTAAATCCTAGTCAATAAAGTCCCATAAAAATGTCTATATGTACATGGCTCAGAAGCTTAGGGAATAGCCACGGTTGGCTACTAAATAAAATACATGTTCTGCAAGTGGATGTAGTGCCATTTGCAGCTCACGATATAAACAGCCAACAATTACACATCATAAACTTGTCATTTAAAACAGGGAAACTTTTGTTTACACCAAATGAAAAAACGATGAACAGTGAACTGCCATGTCAATGCTAATTCTTGCCCCACCATGGAGTGAATGAACAGCCCTGCCACAACAGAACAAGCAAAGCCACCAAGCCCTCTGGCGCCCGCGGCCCTGCCCCGCTAAGGCAGCATGCTCACCTTGCCTCTGTGGCGCCCAGTGAGGATGATGAGGACGGTCCCTGGAGTGATGCTGGCCCGCAGCCTTCGCACGTGCTGACTGAAGGGCTTCTTGCCATGGCTCAGCAGCTTCCGAGGCACATCCTCAGTGGGGTAGTATCTAGGCTGGAGAAAACCCACGCCTTAAACTTATTTCAATGTTTAGGACCCCCGTGGTCACAGGCCCTGCCTTGAAACTCCAATGCTCTATCATCCTTTTTTTTTTTTTACTGTCCCCAGTAGGATGACAATGATTTCCATGCAAGCCTTGTTTAGTCATCAACTTTGGATATAACATCATTCAGGATGAGTTTGGGTGGCTCACGCCTGTACTTAGGAAGTTGAGATCTGTGGACCATTGTCACAAAAACAAAACCCACACAATCATTTGTTCAGAAAAAGATACCCAAAACAGTTTACATCTAAAGTAGGCTGGAGGCATGACTTCAGTAGTAAAGCATCTAAATAGGAAGTACAAAGTCCCATAAGAAAAATATAGAAACCAAGAATAAAGTATGCTGCATCCCCTGTATCACAACTTAACCTCGCAAAACCATGCCTTACTTCCATTTTATGCAAAGGGAAACAAATCTCTCAAGACTGAACTTCAGGATTTATTAATCCACTTACTGGAAAGTAACACACCATAGGTTAGGAATGTGGCTTAGTGGCAGAGTGCTTGTCTAGCATGCATGAAGCCCTGAGTTTGGTTCCTCAGTGTCACAGTTAACAGAAAAAGCCGGAAGTGGTGCTGTGGCTCAGCTCAAGTGCCCAGGGCAAGTTCAAGCCCAAGATTGACAAAAAAAAAAAAAAAAAAAAACCAAACCACCATAAAAGTACTAGGAGTAACAAATGAGATTGAATTCTGGCAAGCACCTTGCCAACTGGGTGGCGGTCCCTAGCATACCCAGCCATCTGATATCCCTTCAAGTCTCACCATTTTCCGAAGCTTAACCACCCGGGTTCCTCCATTCTTGTCACCACCAACTGGTTTTGTGACAGTTGCAAGAACCTTCTCCTTCTTTTTCTTTTCAACCTACAAAGACAGATACACACACACGCACAAAGTCAGAGCCGACGATTAAAGTTCAGATGTTAAAGGCCAGCGTTCCTTTTCTCCCCTTACCTTGGACTTAGCAGCCGAGTACTTCCTCTTGTACATGGCTTTTCTGGAATACATTGCAGACCGTGAGTATCTGCCAATTCCTCGGACCAGGACCGGATTTCGGCTGCAGTGGGGCATCCCTTTCTTGGGCTTTTTATTTTTAGCCTTTGGGGTAGCCTTCTTCACCTTGCCATCGGCACCAGCCTTCTTGGCTGCAGGTTTCTTCTCCTTAGCTTTCGGCTTCTCAGCCTTTTCACCCGCCATCTATGAATATTATAAAATAATTAAGACACCATCCCACACACAAAAAAAAGCAATTCTAAATAAAACTACAGAGGGGCTGGGTTCTCCCCCGCCCCAACCTCGAAGGCATCGCCCTTCCAATTTCTACTCTTAAACCTCATGCGGCGCACACACTATGATCTTCTGAAACATGAGTGTGTTGGTTTGTAGCCTAAAGTCCCCACACCATTACTGTCCCTGTTTTGTGGCTCAGAAAAACTTAACAGTCTTTTAACACACTGGGCCCAGCATAAAGCAAGCAGAGACGCCGGGACGGCTTCGGGGGATGGCTAGGGGGACGTTAAGGTTTTGGCCACGGCCGCAGGCTCCAACGTGGCTGAGGCCAGTTCGGCGGCAAACTCGGGAACCTCCACCAGGCCTCAGAATCGCGCGCGGAGTCGCGCGGTCGCTCTCGTCACACCAGCTCGCTACGGCACCCCGTAGGGGCCTCGTCTCCCGGGTCCAAGGCGACACCGGCCGGGGCCTTGTCCGCTCCCCACCTACCCTCCCTTCGCTCCCCACCAACCCGACAGAAAGAAAACGTCCGGGGAGGCCTCTAAGTTAAGTCTGGACATGTTCGGCCGTTGTAGGTGTGAAATTAGCATCCTCCGGTCTCGGATGGCGAAGGATTGGGGGGTCCTGAAATCGAGTCTTGCAGAGGTGGCAGCCATTCTTACCTTGCAAGACGGGAAAGAGGACTAGGTTCCCGGCTTCCGGTCTATAAGTGATGACGGGAGGCGTCTCGTTGAACTTCCTTCCTGGACGGGGCATCATGGGAAATGTAGTTTTCACTTCAGCATGTAGATGTAATTCCTGAAATAGGGAAGTTTTTGTAGGCCCAACGCAGAGGAGGCTGAGATCCGAAGGTTAGAGTTCGAAGCCAGGCTAGGCTGGAAAAGGAGTTGTGGTTCAAGTGGTAAGCTAAGGGACAGTGCCTAGACCCTGAGTTCAAACCCTAGTACTGGCAAAAAATAAATTAAAAAAAAAAAAATTGAACCTGTTCGAAGCTAGCCTGGGCTCTAAAGTAAGACCTTGTGTAAAATTAAATAAATAAATCACTAGCCACTAGCTTGCTTGTGCCTTTAATTACATTTAATTTTTTTATTTAATATTTGGAGCTTGAACTCAGGACCTGGATACTGTCCTTGAATTTTTTTGCTTAAGGCTAGCATTCCACCACTTAAGCCACAGTTCCACTTCCAGCTTTTTTAGCAGTTAACTAGAGATGAGTCTCCAGTGAAGCCGGGGGTGGGGGTGGGAGGGGGTGGGGGGGGGGTGGGAGTGGAGGGTTGGGGGGGGGCAGTGGGGTTGGAGGTGGGGCTAGTCCTGGGGTTTGAACTCAGGGCTTGGGTGCTGTCCATGAACTTCAAGGCTAACATTCTACCACTTGAGCCACAGCTCCACTTTTTTTTTTTTTTTTTTTTTTAGTTGTTGGCTGTGTAATTATTGGAGATTAAAATCCCACTGACTTTCCTGCCTAGGCCAACTTCAAGTTGCAATCCTCAGATATCAGCATCTTAAGTAGCTAGGATTATAAGTGTAGCTCCTATGAGACTCTTACTGCCAAAACCAGCAAAAAACATCATTGGAGGCTTGGCTCAAGTGATAGACTACCAGACTAGTGAAAAGGCCAAGCAAGATCAAGAGGTCCTTGTTCAAGCCACAGTATTGGCACAAAAAAAGAAAAAAAGTATATTCAAATCATTATTATAGGTAGGTGTTCGCATAGGAAGATTTTTCACACACACACACACACATACACATGCACACACAAAAAGAGAAAGTGACATGAAAAGGAAAATGCAGTTTTTGAAGTTGAGAAATACAAAATAAGAGTCATTAAATGGGGGCTGGGAAGGTGGCTCAGTGGTAGAGTGCTTGCCTTGCATGCCTGAGGCCCTGGGTTCGATTCCTCAGCATCACATAAGCAAAAAGAAAAAAGCCGGAAGTGGCGCTGTGGCTCAAGTGGTAGAGCGCTAGCCTTGAGCTGAAGGACAGCACCCAGGCCCAGAGTTCAGGCCCCACGACCGGACCAAAAAAAAAAAAGAGTCATTAAATGAATATCTGTTGAGGTTGTTATAAACCAGGAGCTATGCTATATACAGACAAAGATAACTTTGTCTTAAAAGGAGCTCTTAATCTAAGGAAGGAGCCAGAGGACTCAGCCATCTGACACTGAAATGTGTTAGGTGCTGATAGAAGAATGAGCAGGCAGCCCAAGAGCATAGGAAGGGGCCTCTGGTTTATTTTGAGAACATGGTCAAGGGGAGTGGTGCAAAATAGAGCTGGCTATTTGAGTTAGAGCTGAATCTTGTATGACATTTAATTCTATATATGGAAAAAGGCTGAAAGGGGGCTGGGAATGTGGCTTAGTGGTAGAGTGCTTGCCTAGCACGCATGAAGTCCTGGGTTTGATATTTCAGTACCATTTAAACAGAAAAAGCCAAAGTGGTGCTGTGGCTCAAGTGGTAGAGCACTAGCCTTGAACACAGAGAGGCTCAAGGACAGTGCCCAGGCCCTGAGTTCAAGCCCCAGTACCAGGCGGAAAAAGGTTTGTAAACTATAATCCTAAAAAACTACATTTTGGATGGTAGGTATGTAAAAAATAGGAAAAAGCCTTGGAAACTGCTAGATTATATGAGGGTGTTATCAAGGGCCATGTCTAGAGAACCTCATGAGTGAATGGAGGATTTCAAATAAATGCTAACGTCTTCGAGCCTACTTCATGGATCATGGGAATGACAAGGTTTGATTCGTATAGAATATAGTGTAGGAAAATCTGGGAGGGTAATGGGGGTCTGCATTCGAAGAGCTTATAGTTTACTTTGGGGAATATGCAAATGAGCTGGGTGCTGGTGGCTCACAGCTGAAATCATGGTACTCAGGAGTTTGTGTCCTGGAGGATTCTGGTTCCAAGCCAGCCAGGCAGAAAAGTCTGCTGTCTTCAATTATCCAAGGAAATGTGGGACTAGAGGCGTGACTCAGTGGTAACACCAGCTGTGAGCAAGGAAGCCTAGAGAAGCTAGGCACTGATGGTGAATGTCCATAATCCTAGCTATTCAAGAGGCTGAGATCTTAGGATCAGTTTGAAGCCAGCCTGGGCAGGAAAGTCTCCAATTAACCACCAAAAAGCCAGAAGTGGAGCTGTGGCTCAAAAGGTAGAGCACCAGTCGAGCAAACAAGCTAAGAGAGTGTGCCCAGGCCCACAGTTCATGCAAATATGAAGATATATATTCATTTATATCCATATATAAATATGAATATATATTCACATGAATACATATATTTTTTGCCAGTCCTGGGACTTGATTTAGGGGCTGGGCACTGTCCCTCAGCTTCTCTGTGCTTAAGGCTTGCACTCTACCACTTGCCACAATGCTTCTGGCCTTTTCTGTTTAGGTGGTACCGAGAATTGAACCCAGGGCTTCATGAGTGCTAGGCAAGCATTCTACCACGAAGCCACATTTCCAGCCCGAATATATTCATATGAATATATTCATATGTATATGAAATAGGCACGAGTGTACATATATGCCAAATAAAGGAATACAAAGAAAAGAAAAACCTGAGTGTGAGATATAGAAGGCTCTAAAGAAAAGACAAACCTGGTGTGTTGTTTTATGTCTGCAATCTAGCCACTCAGGGGGCTGAGATCCAAGGATCACGATTTGCCAGTTTAGGCAAAAAGTTCATGAGATACCTCCCCATCTCAACAGGAAGAGCTGGTGCAATGGCACATACCCGTCATCCCATCTACCGCAGGAAGCACACACTGGAGACTACACGTCTCCTAACGGTAAAGTGAGATTCTCAAAAATAACCACAGCAAGAAGATTTAGAGGCATATCTCAAGCGGTGTTTGTTGTTGTTCACCGTTATAACCCTATTGTCCAAAACGGAGCCTCACAAGTAGAAAACGCTCCACAGACATCTAGCTTCAAGAACAAATAAAACTTAGAGAGCACTTACTACACAGGCCAGGCCCAGTCCTAAGCATTATACATTATTACAGAATAATCCCATCGATACAATTACTATTTCAATTTTCACAGGCAGCAAGGCAAGGGGGAACCCGAGGCTCAGAAAAGCACGCGACTTTCCCGCGCTCACGCAATCACTAAAGCAGCCCAGGGCCCGCGAGACACGAGAACCACGACGCCCGACTCGGCAGCGCGCGCGGGGAGGGGAGGGGAGCGGGTGGCGGGGCTGCGGCCGCCCGAAGGCCAACGGAGGAAGCCGCGGGGGCCTCGGGGGGACCGGTGACGGAGGCGCCCCTACTATCCCGCACCGCCCCCGGCCCGGTCCGCGGGAGCGGCGGGAGCGGCCGTCCCGAGCCCAGGCAGACCGGAAGCAGGAAGTGGCGGCGGGCGTCGCGCGGGGTGACGTCACGAGGGCGCCGCCGCCGAGGGGCGGGGGGCAGGAGGAGGTGGAGGAGGGGGGAGGAGCGAGCCGGGCTCGGGGGGCGGCTGCACAGAGTCCGGGATCCCCCAGGTCTGGAGGGGGGGGTCTGCGCGCGGCCGGCCGGCTCTGCCCCCTCCAACGCCGCCCCCCCCCCCGTCCGGTCCCGAGCCGGCTTCCTTTCGGGGCCAGCCTGATGTGACGGGGCCCCGCGGAGCCTGAGCGCGGAGCGGGCCCGCCGCGGAGCCGGAGGGCGGGAGGAACATGACATCGCGGAGGTGAGGAGCCCCGAGGGGCCCGGCGGGGCCTCGGCCCGGCCCGCGTCGCCTTCGCTCGGCCCCGCCCGGTGGGGGCGCCCGGCCGGGCTCCGGGCTCGGTCCCGGCTGCCGTGCGTGTGCGTGTGCGTGTGTGTGTGTGCGGGGCGGGGGGGTTCGGGCTTCCCCACCCGCCCGTTCTCGGCCTCCCGGCCTCGGGGGGCGGCCTGGCCCTCCGCGTCCCCTCCCCGCGGGTCCCCATTCATTTCCTGCCTCCCCGAGTTCCGGCTCCCGCGGCCCCGGGGACGCCTGTCGGGACGCGGGGGGCAGGTAGGGGCGCCCCGGGGACCGCGGACGCCGGCGGCCCGGCCCGGCGCCGCATTCCTGACCCATTGCCTCATGAGAATTGCCTCATGGAGATTCCGAAATAAACCCGCTCGCTCCGTGGGTCGCCGCCGGGGCCTCGGGCCGCAGCCCTGCCAGCCGCCCCGGGCGCCCCCTTCCCCGCGCCCGCCGCCCTGCTCTTGGGGACTTCGCCCGGGACCCCCTGATCCTTTGAATGCCCCCTTGCGTGTCCTTTTCCTCCCCGTTCCTCACGTGCCAGAAATGGAAAAACTGACGGTATCTGCAGCCACTACGAGTATTTCCTTCCTCCGCCGTCTTCGCTTCGGGAGGAGGGAGGGACGGGAGCTTTATCGAGTTAACTCCGGGGCTGCAACCTCCTAAGACAGGTAACTGACGGCCGCGGTTGGGTTTTACGGATGTGGAAACTGAGGCTTTGAAAGCGAGGTGCCGAGGAGAGTCAGAGGCGTCACGGGAACCTCTGGAAGTCGAGGCACGCACACGGTTCGTCACTAATGGTTAGCCCCCCTCACAACGATCCTTTGAGGCCTACTCTCCCACTCTAACGTTGAGCAAACTGAGGTTTAGAAGTAAACTGGCCTGATGTCACTCAGCTAGTAAGTGGTGGTGCCTGCACACCCCCCCCCCCCCCCCCCGCCCCAGGTTAATTACCCTGTTGCCATTATTGTTTTGTAACTATTGCTAATCGTTTGCAAGTTGTAACTTTGTTGCTAAGTATCGGTTTGACCTCTAGTTTGATGCTGATCTTTTGTATCAACACTGACACATAGGATCCATTGTCCTTTTTTTGTTCTGTTTTTTTGTTTTTTGAGGGGGGCCGTTGGTACTAGGGTTTGCATTCCGAGCGTCGTCCTGCTCGCCATCTAGATGCTGAACCACTCGATCCCTTTTTGTTGTGGTTGTTTTGAGATAGGGTCTCAAATGTTCACTTCCTCTGTAGCTGGGATGACAAGCAGGCACCACCAGGCCCAACTTTTTGTGTTGAAATGGGGGGTCTGGTGAACTTTCGTGCCTGGGCTGGCCTGGAACCACCAGCCTCCCTATCTCACCCTCTGAATAGCTGGGATGTCAGGCACACATCCCTTTGCCCAGCCCCATTGTTCATTCTTTACCATAATTGTCCAGTTGATAGTCACTGCCATAGACATCTGAAAAACAATCTCCGGCTGTTGGGGCTATGTTATTAAGACACTTTTCAGAATATTAGGAGTCTCTCAAAACATACCACCGTATTATCCACTCATGGATCTGGAACAAAAAAAAAAACGGGGGGGGGGGGTGGGGGATGAAAAAGAAAATTGAGAAGTCTTAGGAAGTGAGTGACTTGGACAGGTCTCTTGGCAAGGGCTTTGCAGATCAGGGTAATATATAGCTGCATTTCACCAGAACAGTGTACGGCCTCAAACGCTCGAATTCTTTAGGGAGCTTTTAAATAAAACCGTTGTCTGTTCTTTAATCTGTCAAATAGTCATTGAGCCTTTTGTTCCGTGCGTCTGCTCTTCCAGACAAGTAAGAATCTGCTGCTTTCAATGACAGAAAGGCTGGGGAGGAGGGAGAAGGAGCTGAGCAGGAATAGACACGACATTGTCCAGCTTGTTAGTTTAGGAGCTGGGAGGTGTGGGCACAGCCAGAGTGGCAAGTGGTGATGATGAAGCTTGACAAGGAGTAGTTCCTTCGGCTGGCTCACGGAAGGATAAATCTCACTCACTGTTAAAGAAAAGAGGCATGTGTCACCTAAGAAGCCAGGCTGTGGAACATAACATGTAATGGGAGATTATGTATTTTTAGGTTGTAAACTTCTATTGTGTGTGTGTGTGTGTGTGTGTGTGCTTTCTTTTTGGACAGAGTCTTCTTGGTATGTAGTTTAGGGTGGCCTTGAATTTAGGATTTTTCCAACCTTGGTCTCCCCCCTTGTGGGGCTTGAACTCAGGGCCTGAGCACTGTCCCTGAGCTTTTTTTGCTCAAGGCTAGCACTCTATCACTTGAGTCACAGCACCACTTCAGGCATTTTCTCTGTATGTGGTACTGAGGAAGGGAGCCCAGGGCTTCATGCATGCTAAGCAAGCTCTCTACCACTAAGCCACATTCCCAGCCCTGGCTTTTTTTTTTTTTTAAATAAGCTTTATTGATATACAAATGGTGTGTAATAAAATGATGTGTAATAAATTGCATATATTTGTACATTCTGATAAGACTTGATGTATGTATGCAGTTGTGTGCAGTTGTGAAACCATTACCACTGGTGATAATGAAACATCAGACTCATCCCTTATGAGTCTTATAATCTCTCCTTTTTTTTTTTTTGTTGTTGGTCATGGGGCTTGAACTCTGGGCTCTGTAATCTCTCCTTTTTTAGGCAGCTACTGGTCCACTTTCTTTTACTATAGACTGGATTGTGTTTTCTAGAATTTTACATACATGGAGCTAGATCTGTGTCCTCCCCCACTTTTTTGGCCTAGCTTTTTTTAAAATTTTTTATTTTTTTAAATAATGCCAATACTGGGCTTGATCTTTGATAGCTCAAGTGCTGTCCTTTAGCTTCTTCTTTCTTTCCTTTTTTTTTTTTTTTCTGGTCATGGGGCCAGAACTCTGGGCCTGGATGCTGTTCCTCAGCCTTTCAGTTCAAGGCTAGCACTCTACCACTTGAGCCACAGCACCACTTCCAGCCTTTTCCGCTTATGTGGTGCTGAGGAATTGAACCTTCCCAGCCCATCATTTAGCTTTTTCACTCAAGGTTGACACTCTACCACTTGAGCCACAACTCATACTCTGGGCTTTTTGGTGGTTAATTGGAGATAAGAGTCTCAAAGACTGGGGCTGGGAAGGTGGCTCAGTGGTAGAGTGCTTGCCTTGCATGCATGAGGCCCTGGGTTCGATTCCTCTGCACCACATAAGCAAAAAGAAAAAAGCCGGAAGTGGCGCTGTGGCTCAAGTGGTAGAGCGCTAGCCTTGAGCTGAAGAGCTGAGGGACAGCGCCCAGGCCCAGAGTTCAGGCCCCACGACCAGACCCCCCCACCCCCCCCAAAAAAAAAGAATCTCAAAGACTAAGCCAGGCACTGGTGGCTTACGCCTGTAATCCTAGCTACTCAGGAGGCTGAGAGATGAGGATTGCGGTTCAAAGCCAATCTGGGCAGGAAAGTCCGTGAGACTCTTACCTCCAATAAACCACTAGAAAACTGGAACTGGTGCTGTTGTTCTAGGGGTAGAGCGCTCGCCTTAGCTGAAGAGTTGAAGAGCGCAGGGACAGGGCCCAGGCCCAGAGTTCAAGCCCCACAACCGACCAAAAACAAAACAAACAAACAAAAAGAATCTCAAAGACTTTTCCTGCCCAGGCTGGCTTCAAACTGTGGTCTTCAGTTCTCGGCCTCCTAAACAGCTAGAATTAACCCTTGAATCACTGGTCTCATCTTGGTCTAACTAAGTTCGGCATACTTGTGCTGAGATCCGTCCTTGGGGGTGGGTGGGGGTAGGGAGGTGTCAGGTGATAGCAGCTCTCAAGCTTAGATGCTTGTGGGTAGGTGTTTACGTGGGTGTGTGGCTTTATTTCTCTGTCAGTACCTACAAGTGGAATAGTACATGCATTTCACTTTTTCAGAAATTGTTCCCCTCGTTTCTTTCCTTCAGTCTATGAGTTTCACAGTGTATATACTTCCTTGCCAACACTTGGTTTAATCAGACTTTTTTGTTTTTCACCCATTCTAGTGCATTTGTTGTGTGATCCCATTGCAGTTTTATTTTGTATTTTTCTTAATCACTAATAGTGATGATTATCTTTTCATATGTTAGTTTACCACTTCTATACTTTTTTTTTCTTTTTTTTTTAGGTCTGGTCGTGGGGCCTAAACTCTGGGCCTGGGCACTGTCCCTCAGCTCTGCAGCTCAAGGCTAGCACTCTACCACTTGAGCCACAGCGCCACTTCTGGCTTTTTTCTTTTTGCTTATGTGGTGCTGAGGAATTGAACCCAGGGCCTCATGCATGCAAGGCTAGCACTCTACCACTGAGCCACCTTCCCAGCCCCTATACTTTCTTTGGTAATGTTTCTGCTCAAATCTTTTGTCTAGGGGCTAGGAATATGGCTCAGTGGTAGAATGCTTGCCTTGCATGCATGAGGCCCTGGGTTTGATTCCTCAGCACCACATAAGCAGAAAAAGCCAGAAGTGGCCCTGTGGCTCAAGTGGTAGAGCGCTAGCCTTGAGCTGAAGAGCTGAGGGACAGTGCCCAGGCCCAGCGTTCAGACCTCATGACCAACCAAAAAAAAAAAAAATCTTTTGTCTATATTCATTTAGTTATTTTCTTTTTCCTTTTTTTTTTTTTGGTCGGTTGTGGGGCTTGAACTCTGGGCCTGGGCACTGTCCCTCAGCTCTGCAGCTCAAGGCTAGCACTCTACCACTTGAGCCACAGTGACACTTCCAGTTTTTCTGGTGGTTTATTGGAGATAAAGAGTCTCACGGAGTTTCCTGTGGAGGCTGGCTTTGAATGGTGATCCTCAGCTCTCAGCCTCCTGAGTAGCTAGGATTACAGGTGTGAGCCACTGGCACCCGGTTAGTTATTTATTTTCTTTCTATTGAGATTTGAAAGTTCCATATGGACTGTTCTAATTTTTGTGTAATCTTATCATAACTGCAAATATTTTCTCCTCTGTGGCTTATCTTTTCATTTTTCTTTAACTGTACTTTGATGAGCAAAAGTTTTAAAATTTAAGTAATTATACAAAGGTATTTTTTGTGTGTGTGTGTGTGTGTGTGTGTGTGTGCCAGTCCTGGGGCTTGAACTCAGGACCTGGACACTGTCCCTGAGTTTCCTTTGCTCAAGGCTAGCACTCTATCACCTGAGCCACAGTGCCATTTCCAGCTTTTTCTGTTTATGTGGTACTGAGGAATTGAACCCAGTGCTTCATGCATGGTAGGTGAGCACTCTAGCATTAAGCCACATTCCCAGCTCCAAAGGTTATTTCTGTGTGTGTGTGTGTGTGTGTGTGTGTGTGTGTGTGAGAGAGAGAGAGAGAGAGAGAGAGAGAGAGAGAGAGAGAGAGAGAGAGTGTGTGTGTCCTGGTACCTGAACTTTGGGTCTGGGCATTGTCCCTCAGCTCTTCAGGTCAAGGCTAGCGCTCTACCACTTGGGCCACAGCGCCACTTCTGGCTTTTCCTGCTTATGTAGTGCTGAGAACTCGAACCCAGGGCCTCATGCATGCAAGGCAAGCATTCTACCACTGAGCTACCTTCCCAGCCCATCCAAAGGGGTTTAACTACACAAATCAGATTATGAGCACAAAATATCTTGATCAGTCAACCCACCATTCTTCCCCAATTTTCCCGGTTCTATCCCTCAACTGATACATTCAACTTTCATATAACATACATTGAATATAATGGCTGTATTTACCCACTCTTCCTTCATTTGTAAGGCCCCTGCTCAAAAAGCAAAAACAAAAACCCATCACACAAAAGCTTCAGGAAGTTTTTAAATTAAAAGTCTAGTTTGCCAATTTCTTCTTGTATGGTTCATGCTCTAATACATCTTAGATTGAACTAAGGTTTCAGATGTTTTCTTTTTGCATGTGCATGCGTGTACGTATGTGGGTCTTTTTTTTTGGAGACAGGTTCTTCCTATGTATTTTGGACAATATTCTAAGTCACTAGTTCAGGCTGTCTCACAAGTATTTTTGTCCTCCTTGTCTCCACCACCAAAGTATTGAGATTAAAGCAGTATGCTACCATGCCCTGGCTGCTATTAGTTATGCTGTGGAGTTTAGGGAAGGTCTCTGAGGAGGTAATCTTGTGAGCAGATCCTTTGGGCCTGTTTTTTGTTCTTTTTGTTCTGAGAGTTGAACTCTGGGTGTCCAGCTTGCTAGACTGGTGCTTTAACTCTTGAGCCACATCTCAGCCCTTTGGTATGCTTAGGTTTTGGGGAGAAGACCTTGCATTTTTGTCTGAACCACCTCAAGATCCTTCTATTTATGCTTCCTGCATAGCTGGGATGACAGGTGCATGCCACCACACCTAGCTTTGTAATTGGTTGAGATTAATGAGGTCT